GGAAAGGAGTATTGCAACTGTACTGTAATTCCTGCAGAACATTCAGGTTAGCAGAGCTGGTCTGGATGAAACTTTTATAAAATAAAAATAGCAGTGTATGTGCAGGAAAACATAATTTATGGAGCACTTGTAGCTATGGGTAATCTAATTTAAACAGACCAGATATGGAAATTTAAAGAGAAAATGAAACCATTTTCAATCGCTGATCTAGAAAATAAGTAGTAAAGTGAATGTACGGGGCAGTATTTTACATAGTCTTCCTCTGTCCCTTCGCTTCTCCTGGTGTCTTTGTGATGGAGCCGCGCTCCTTCAGTCTTTGGAAATTGTCACTGGAGTTGTGATGCTTAAAGAACATTTAGTGAGAGTATATCCCACATGCAATTCCTTCTGCATCTGAGGATGCTCTTCAGAGGCCAAGTAACTCCCATTGCCACAACTTTTCCTCTAACAATGCTGGCAGGGTTGTTCATGGACTGGGTTGGGTTGGGGTTTTTTTCACACTTTGCATTTGCTAGGTCTGTGGTGGTGTTTGTGACTTTGGGATGTTTTTGAGGGACTTCCTAGAGCCCATTTTGGTCTGTGAGCTGTCTCAAAGCAAAAAGCTTAATTCTGACATGGTTTTAGGTGTATTAAATGAATTTGAATTGTTTTCAATTCTGTTCTGGCACAAAGTGTCTATTTCCAACACTATTTCCTAAATGTTCTTAGTCAGACAAGCAGTTTGTATATTAACTTAGTTTTTGGAGAGAAAATTCTGTCCTTTGAATTTCCTTTGCCGTCTCTAATGTATTTATGTTTTTATTTCAACCAGGAAGACAACTGAAGGTTTTTAATACCCTTATTGTCCCCTTTATATATTTATTTATCTCGTGAAGGAGAATGTCAGTAACTTTCAAGTTCAGGTTTAAGCTAAGTAGGTTAATTAACTGCTTGCTTTTTGTATGTCCATTTGCTTTTTCCTATGGGCCCGCCCACACTCCATCTTATCTTGCTATGGGTGACAAACAAAATGTAACACAGGCTGAGATACATAATACTGTTATTTTTAGAGAGTTGTTCAGGACGACTGTCTTGTTGTTTCACTTCATGCTAGTGAAAAAAAAACAACTCCTTTTGTTTTGGACTTAATTTTGAGAATCTTGAGACATTTGCCAAACTGGTCAATACTGGAGAGCACTGTCAGATATGGAGTGCTTGCTCTAGTTATTTATGCTTGAAGGTAACAGCTACGGTAAGTTTATTCCAAGATAAATCAAGTAGATTGGCTGATGATAATCAAAATTTTCCAAAGTATGTTCAGTAATACAGCATTTTATTAAATTTCCTTTATAGGCAGAAATTGAAAAGAGAATAAGGCAACACCTAGACTTAAGGCAAACATATGAAGAGCAATTTGCTTTCAAGAAGGTAGCATGACAAACTATACAAGAAGAGGAAGAAGCCTTCAGAAAACATGTTTTCTCTTCATACTATGGTGGATATTGGTGGAAGCAAATGTTCACAGAGCTGAAACTGAACAGTTACAAAAACTTGCTTGTTTATTGTAGGAGCATGAACTTGAAGACAGTTAGAGAAGACAAGAAAACATCTGTGCAATCGTTGAAGAAGAGAGACAGAAACTCCTGAAAGAGTACGCATCTAAATTATCGGGTTATCTTCCTCAAGTAAGTGAATTGTATTTTAAATGCTTTAAATGTTTGTCCTGTAAATCACTGTTCTCTTGGGATAGCTGAAGTTGCAGAACTGTGTTAAGTTCCTGAAGTCAGTGGGTGTCCTTATTGTGTCAGCTCTCCTGTGCTAACCTTTTCCTTTTTTCTCCCTTTCCTCCCCCCTTCCCCCCCCCCACCTTTTCCCTTTTTCTTTTTGAGTTGGGAAGCAGAAAAATATTCTTTCTGTATGAGAGGCTTTGGGCTCTACTGCAATATTGATGCCTTGTACAGAACTTGCTGAAAGCTTCTATAGCACTTTGCACATCCAGTCTTCGGAATATGGAATGTAAGTTCTAAAGCGGGGCTTTTGCAGCTAGAAAGGGGTCCACCATATCTAAACCCCATTTCCACCAAATTTGTCAGTTGGGGTTTTGGGAGCAATTTCTTACTCTGTTGCCTAAGTCTTCTGTTACGATGGAAACAAGGCCTGGTCTCTGTTATAGTGCAATAAGCTGCAGTGCCAACAGAAGCATTTCAAAGCTCACTCTGTTCATCCTTGTGTTTTTAAAAGTTAAAAAGATGGAAACAATTATTGTAACAAGAATAAACTACAATTTATTTTGTATTATACTTCATAATCAGAAAGATCACCTGATGGTACACAAATGAACAGAGAGCTGCTTTAGGGATGTAAAAATGCATTTACAGTAGGGAGGGAGTTATCCAACTATTTAAATAAATTCTTTTCTGCAATACTGGAAAACATTGTAAATATAGCAGAGTATAATTTTTATTCAAATATTAATACACTAATTTGGTGCATGAATTTGTAAAATTTGGAGGGAGTAATTTTCTAATGTAGATTTAATTAAAGGATAACTCCAATGGGCAATATTTTTAGATCGTTTTCTGGTTTGAATTTACTGTTGTAGGAAGTCTTAGCTATTTCAGAGTGTCCATGGATCATACCTGTTCCATGGTATTGATGTTCTACTTTGTTCTTTTCTCTGCTTCAACGCCGCGTCTGAATCATGTGGTCACACATCATGTTACTTCACTCAAAATGGTTAAATAGAAAAGTGCTACTGTCCTGGTTTCAGCAGGGATAGAGTTAATTTCCTTCCTAGTAGCTGGTACAGTGCTGTGTTTTGGATTTAGGAGGAGAACAAAGTTGATAACGCACCGATGTTTTAGTTGTTGCTAAGCAGTGCTTACACTAGTCAAGGACTTTTCAGCTTCCCATGCTCTACTGACTGAGAAGGCTGGAGGTGCACAAGAAGCTGGGAGGGGGCACAGCCAAACTGGCCAAAGGGACATTCCATACCATGTGACGTCATGCTCAGTACATAAACTGGGGAAAGCTGGCCGGGGGGGCCGCTGCTCAGGGACTGGCTGGGCATCAGTCG